TACGAGCAGGAGAGCACAAGAGAGGAGAGCTCCTGCCTCATACTGAGAGAGTGGGAGGATCAGCGAGTTATCTTAAGTGCCTATACACAAATGCAAGAAGCCTGGGAAACAAGCAGGGAGAACTGGAAGTCCTGGCACAGTCAGGGAATTATGATGTGATTGGAATAACAGAGACTTGGTGGGATCACTCACATGACTGAAGTACTGTCATGGATGGGTTCAGGAAGGACAGGCAGGGCAGAAAATGTGGGTATGTGTGGGGGTGCTGAAGTCAGGGATGGGGTCGTGGGGGGTGCAGGGCAGAGGGCTGGGAGTGTGTGTGTGGGGGTGCAGCGATCAGGGACGGAGTGTGTGGTAGGGTGTAGGTGTCAGGGCAGAGGGCTGGGGGTGTGGGGTAGGGTCGTGGGGGTGCTCCCAGCCCCCTGCCTAGAGCGGCTCACGGCAGGGCACTGGAGGAGATATGCCCCGATTCCACCCCCCTTCCCCAAGGCCTCCTCCCCAGAGCAGTGAGTGCGCTGCGGCTGGCTTCTCCCCCTCCCTTGCAAAGGCCATCAGCTGATCGGGGGCAGGGAGGGAGAGGAGGAGGGGCAGGAACCCAGCACGCTGGGGGAAGAGGCAGGGGAGGGAGGAGCTTGCCTGCCCTGCAGCAGCAGCTGGCAGGACCAAGCTTCTTCATCCTGCCCCCGCGGTGGTGGTGGGGGGGCAGGATTTTTAATGGCGTGCTGCTGCCTGCTGGGGTCCCGGCCCTGCTCAGCCCACTGCCGGCCTGGGTTCGGCAGCTGGCTGAGCGGGGCCGGCAGCTGGGACCCGGCAGGCAGCAGCGTGCCATTAAAAATCGGCTTGCGTGCTGTCTTTGGCACACGGGCCATAGGTTGCCAACCCCGATCTAGACTGTTCTCAGTGGTAGCAGATGACAGAACAAGGAGTAATAGTCTCAAGTTGCAGTGGGTGACATTTAGGTTGGATATTAGGAAAAACTTTTTCACTAGGAGGGTGGTAAAGCACTGGAATGCGTTACCTAGGGAGGTGGTGGAATCTCCTTCCTTTGAGGTTTTTAAGGTCAGGCTTGACAAAGCCCTGGCTGGGATGATTTAGTTGGCAATCGGTCCTGCTTTGAGCAGGGGGTTGGAATAGATGACCTCCTGAGGTCCCTTCCAACCCTGATATTCTATGATTCGCACTACCTTTTCCTTATTCAAAACTCTTCTAAAAATTCACTTTTTACCCTTGTTGCACATTCTCTGCATCCCAACATCACAATACAGGTACACTGATTATAAACTAACTCCGTCATTGCTGTCTTCTCTGAACCTGTCTTTTAGACTGCTAACTCTTCAAGGCAGAGTCTTGCTTTTGTTTTGTACAGCACTGAGGATATTGGCATTGCTCAGCAAAACATTGATATTTTGAAAATGTAGAGTTTTTAGCTGCTTTGTAAATGGCAAAATTGTTACAGTTCAGACTTATCAGATTGGGTCTCTAGCACACTATAATTCTTCATAATTGAGTGACTTGTAAAAGAGCATAAAATCCAGCTGCATGTATATGAGTAAAAGAAAAAGATGTCAGTATAAAAACCCCAGACTTCAACATCTGATTAAACCTATCTTGTTAGAGAGTTTTTTAAATACTTTACTCAAATATTGGAATGCTTTTCAATTGGTTTGGTCTCAAATCAATTTCTTTCACATGATTGGCATATTTGAACTAGCATATTTGCTAATTACTAAAGATGCTATTGCTTAAACATGTGTGCTTCTTAAAAATCTGTGTAAAAAGTATGAGAGCATCTCAAACTCCAGTTGAAGTTTATAAGCCTTGTTCTTTTTTTCTTTTCATTTGGCAGGCTACTTGGAACAAACGTTATGCAATCAGACTTTTTAACCAGATTCCTTAGAGTTCTTACTAAATTAAATCTACCACTGCCATTAGTGAAAATCTTTGATATCAACCCTACTTCCTCTTTACAGGAAGAGCTTGCTGCTCCAGTATCATCTTGTAATCTGATTGATAATAAAAGCTATGCCACCAGTTACAGAACAGAAGATCAATATACTTAGCGCAGTATACTCTTCCCTTCTTTCAAAACTGGCCATGTTATCAAAAGGATCAAAGTAAAAAATCTGTCTTATTTAGACTCAGTCATCCAGTAGTAACTTCAACACACTTCAAACTTCCCATAGTTAAAACTCCCTGAAATTTTGGGCATAGGCTACATTTGACATTTAAAAAAAAATTAAACCTGTTGAATCACTTTAATTAGTAGGTTAGTACCATAACTAAACAACCCTTTCATTAAAGTGAGATAAATGAGCTCCTCCAAGCTCTATTTAATAGAATCATAGAATATCAGGATTGGAAGGGACCTCAGGAGGTCATCTAGTCCAACCCCCTGCTCAAAGCAGGACCAATCCCCAATTAAATCATCCCAGCCAGGGCTTTGTCAAGCCTGACCTTAAAAACTTCTAAGGAAGGAGATTCTACCACCTCCCTAGGTAATGCATTCCAGTATTTCACCACTCTCCTAGTGAAAAAGTTTTTCCTAATATCCAACCTAAACCTCCCCCACTGCAACTTGAGACCATTACTCCTTGTCCTATCCTCTTCTACCACTGAGAATAGTCTAGAACCTTCCTCTCTGGAACCACCTCTCAGGTAGTTGAAAGCAGCTATCAAATCCCCCCTCATTCTTCTCTTCTGCAGACTAAACAATCCCAGTTCCCTCAGCCTCTCCTCATAAGTCATGTGTTCCAGACCCCTAATCATTTTTGTTGCCCTTCGCTGGACTCTCTCCAATTTATCCACATCCTTCTTGTAGTGTGGGGCCCAAAACTGGACACAGTACTCCAGATGAGGCCTCACCAATGTCGAATAGAGGGGAACGATCACGTCCCTCGATCTGCTCGCTATTTATACATCCCAAAATGCCATTAGCCTTCTTGGCAACAAGGGCACACTGCTGACTCATATCCAGCTTCTCGTCCACTGTCCTTTTCCGCAGAACTGCTGCCTAGCCATTCGGTCCCTAGTCTGTAGCGGTGCATTGGGTTCTTCCATCCTAAGTGCAGGACCCTGCACTTATCCTTATTGAACCTCATCAGATTTCTTTTGGCCCAATCCTCCAATTTGTCTAGGTCCCTCTGTATCCTATCCCTGTCCTCCAGCGTATCTACCACTCTTCCTAGTTTAGTATCATCTGCAAATTTGCTAAGAGATCATTTATGAAGATATTGAATAAAACCGGCCCCAGGACCGACCCCTGGGGCACTCTACTTGACACCGGCTGCCAACTAGACATGGAGCCATTGATCACTACCCGTTGAGCCCGACAATCTAGCCAACTTTCTACCCACCTTATCGTCCATTCATCCAGCCCATACTTCTTTAACTTGCTGACAAGAATACTGTGGGAGACCGTGTCAAAAGCTTTGCTAAAGTCAAGAAACAATACCTCCACTGCTTTCCCTTCATCCACAGAACCAGTAATCTCATCATAAAAGGCGATTAGATTAGTCAGGCATGACCTTCCCTTGGTGAATCCATGCTGACTGTTCCTGATCACTTTCCTCTCATGTAAGTGCTTTAGGATTGATTCTTTGAGGACCTGCTCCATGATTTTTCCGGGGACTGAGGTGAGGCTGACTGGCCAGTAGTTCCCAGGATCCTCCTCCTTCCCTTTTTTAAAGATTGGCACTACATTAGCCTTTTTGCAGTCATCTGGGACTTCCCCCGTTGGCCACGAGTTTTCAAAGATAATGGCCAGTGGCTCTGTAATCACAGCCGCCAATTCCTTTAGCACTCTCGGATGCAACTCGTCCGGCCCCATGGACTTGTGCACGTCCAGCTTTTCTAAATAGTCCCTAACCACCTTTCTCTACAGAGGGCTGGCCATCTACTCCCCATGCTGTGATGCAGCAGTCTGGGAGCTGACCTTGTTAGTGTAGACAGAGGCAAAAAAAGCATTGAGTACATTAGCTTTTTCCACATCCTCTGTCACTAGGTTGCCTCCCTCATTCAGTAAGGGGCCCACACTTCCCTTGGCTTTCTTCTTGTTGCCAACATACCTGAAGAAACCTTTCTTGTTACTCTTGACATTTCCTCTTAATGTAATCTCAACATTAATAAAGGGAATGCTAAAGCACTCCTAAAGGCCCAGTTGTGTATGCCTCTGTCACTGGCACAAAGGAAGTGCCCCTTTCTCTGCTGGGCCTGCTCATTTTGTTCTAGCTGCTGCTCCGTGGCAGAGGGGCTTGGCGTGCCTGTGAAGGAGGGATAGTAACAGTACCTGGAGCTTCCCTCCCCCCGTAAGTGCGGTGTTCTCTGTAACCTTTTTTCCCCTCTTCACTTCTATTGGGCGTCTACCCTCTCGGCTAACCCTGGGCCCTAACTCAGATGTGAGCTTAACCCCCCTTTCTCTCAACACACAAATCAGCGTGACTTCAATCCGCTGCCAGGGCCCTGGAAGGAGATGTGGGTCAGCACCCCAGTCCCTCTGTGACCAGCCCTCCCCTTTTGCAGCGTGGGTGGATGCAGCGCTGGCTGCCTGGGGCACCAGGGCGGCATTAAAACTCAGGTGACTGGCAGTAAGTGTGACAACTAGGGACGGGGGTGAGGGGTAATAGGAGCCTATATAAGAAAAAGACCCCAACGTCAGGCCTGTCCCTATAAAAGCGGGACCCCTGCTCACCCTAATTGAAACAGCTGTGATCCCCAGCGCGCCCAGCTTTACAAGGCAAGCTGGCGGCGGGCAGGCTCGGTGTACAGAGGGGAGCCCTGGAGCGCAGGGGCCGAGGGCGCTATGGGCGGGTGACCCCCTGGCCCCTTTGCAGACCCCCCCTGGGCCTGGGGTGTGGGAAGCTCTTCCCCTGCCCCTCGCTGTGACGGACACAGGAGCGTCTCCCCCGCTGCGTGAGAGGGGCAAGCGGCGCTGTGCGGCCCGGCCCGGCCCGGCTCAGGGGCGCTGCCTGGCCGCCCGCTCCCCGCCCTCTCGGCGCCGCGGAGGCCTGTGGGTAAGCGCCGCCGCCAGGTGACAGTTCCTGCCGCCGCCGGGGCCGGGCTGGCGGAGTGAGGCCCGGCGGGAAACCGGCAAATCCCGGCCGGAAGGATGGAGCGGGCGCCGGGGCCGGCTCTGGAGGGCGGCGGCGGCGGCGGGGCCCGCAGATCCGTGCGGCCGACAGGGCTGGGGGGCGCCGCCGCCGCCGCGGGCTCCCGGCAGCCCAGCGTGGAGACCTTGGACAGGTGAGCAGCCCGCCCTCCGTCCCGGGGTCGCTCCCAGTCCCGCTCTCCCTGGCGGGCGCTGCGGGGCAAATCCCCCCACTTCCCCCCCAGCCCGGCCGCCGGGGCTCGTCCCGCTTCGCGGGCTCCGGGTCCCCCGGGCACTAGTGCGGGGCCTGGATCAGCCGCCCGGCGGGGCGAGGGCAAGTCCCAGCCGTGCGCGGGGCCGCGCTCTGCCCTGAGGAGACCCGCAGGCAGCGGCGGCGGCAGGAAGGCGGAGACCGGCGGGGGGACGTGGCCCAGCTGACGGGGCCCGGGCCTGTGGGGTGCCAGCGCCCCATTCCCCAGCCGGGCCCCCCTTCGTGGGCTGACCATCTCTGGGAGGAACATAACGGGCAGCTCTCGCTTGCGGTATGGATAGCCGAGGGGGAGAGGGTGCAGGTGAAAGAAAAGTAACTTCCCCGTGAGTTAGTGCAGAAAGTTTGAGACTGTTGTTGTACACCCCGCGGTGCCCTGTAGCTCACGGTGCAGCTCAAGCAAGGATGCGTTTGTGACATAAATCTGGAGATGGGCATTGTCACCTCACAAACAAATGCAAAACCCTCCAGTTTGAGGGATGTACTTGATATCTTAAAAATGGGGAAAAGATTTATTCCCTAACTTACCTTCCTTAAGTGGTATCTGAGAGAGCGTTTAAAAGCTTCTAATACCTATGTATGTTATGTCAACAAAAACAAATCTAATATGCACAAACTGATGGATAATATGGGGGGAATGTGAGCAGCTGGAATCAAGCAAAAAGTGCACCAAAACAGTAATAGCATTGGGCTTCATATTAGCTTTAGACTGTGGTATCAGGGTAGTCTCTCCCCCCCTTTTTTTCTCCTTCCACCCTGACACACATTTAATGGGCTTGGAATGATAGGAAAGAATGATTTCTGGATAATATACTATAGCGGATGTTGCTTGATATCAAACTACTTTGTGAAAAGCATGTTGTTAAACTATCAGTATTTATATAAGGGAAGTGAGGAGCCACTTTCAGTCTTGTTTTCAGACATTTATACATTTCTGCCCAATACCCTTTTGGGTTGAAACTCCTCCTGCTCGTACCTTTCCAAAAGAGAATTTTCGTGCAAGTTCAGTAACATTTCCATTAGCTGTTAGAGTTATCAGAGCATGTGAGGAGAGTATCTTTTCAGTGGTTAAGATGGAAATTTGGAATTTAGATAATTAAAGAGTTGGTTATTTTAAAAATATTTTACCTGTAGTGTTCAAAATATTTTTGTTCAGAAATTGGAAGAGAATAGTATTCCTTTGATACCAGTGGTAGGCTGGGGAGAGGGCATGCTATGCATATGTGAGGAACAGTACCATGGTACCAATAGTGAACCTTGCAGCTCCTGGCACAAAGAGGAAAGATTTTTATGTGCAGCTGCTGCAACATCAAAGCAAGCCTAGCCTGTGCATGAAGTGTGTCTCCTTCCTCCTATGATATTGACATTCATCATTGCTGTGATTCATAAGAACGGTCATACTAGATCAGACCAATGGTCTGTCTAGCCCAGTATCCTGTCCTCCAACAGTGGCCAGTGCCAGGTGCTTCAGAGGGAAAGAACAGAACAGGTTATCATCACGTGATCCATCCCTTGCCACCCATTCCCGGCTTCTGGCAAATAGAGGCTAGGGACACTTCAGAGCAGGGTTTTGCATCCCTGCCCATCCTGGCTAATAGCCATTGATGGACCTATCCTTCATTAACTTATCTGATTCTTTTTTCAACCCTGTTATAGTCTTGGCCTTCACAACATCCTCTGGCAAAGAGTTCCACAGGTTGACTGTGTGTTGTGTGATAAGGAGAGGGCCAGTAAGTAAGATCAAAGAGACAGGTGAGCAAAAGAGAGAGAAATACTATCATTAACTGGACTTGTAGCTAAAAATTCATACACTTCCTCTGTTCCCCAAAATGTGGGTAGAGGTCTCTGCAAAAGACGCAAGTGAAACTAAAATCCAGTTCAAGACTAACTATGGTAAAAGAGACTTCTCTGAAGCAGCAATGTAATTGATTTTTAATAATGAAACCATATATTAAGAAGTGGTGCTATGTAAAGTTTATGCAGCAAGGGAGAGAACTAATAAAATCCATGACTAAAAATTACTTGATGGTCTTCCACTTCAGATATGTAGCTGCTGCCGTGCTCACCACGCTTATCTTCAGCCAGCACCTCTTGAAACCCGTATGCTGTTTCTCATTATGGCACAGTGCAATTAGTGTGTGAAAGGCCTCTGAAGTGGTATCTTGTGCTCTTGATGAACAATCTGCCACGCCCCCCTCAAATCCCAGTTTTACCTGTTTGTGCTATGTACATTTGTGATTTATTAGTCATTCACTTGTACCATTCTGGGAGTATCCCAGAATTCAAAATTAGCGTGTGTGTTTGTTCATTATATACTATTTTTAAAATGTATTGTACTTTCTGTTCCTGACTTCAATTAAAACACTATGTATGCAGAAGAACCTCACCTCACTAAAATGCATTAAATTGTTGAAGCACAATCTGAGATTATACTGCTGTGCTTGGAGCAGGGACAACAGGGCAATGGGGAGCATCCTGTTACCCCCCCCCCCCCATCCTCTCATCTGACACTGAAATGTACTGAAATAGACCTAGGGCACTTAAAAGTGGCTGGTGTCAAATTACAGTGGATCCTCCCCAGTCTCCATATTTGTTAGTCTCTGAACTTCACCAATCTGCACTGTCCCAGTCTCACTCACACATTAGTCCAGATTAGTGAAATTCTGCTGTAGACTTGCCTGATGCAGTATCTTTGGGGGGGGGTCTTGTGTGCTTGCTAAACTACAAGGTTCAGTAATGTGAAATGGGTCTCCCTGTCATTAGCAAATGCAAAAAAGAAGATACAGCTAGGTAGAAAATTCCCTTGAGGAAGAGTTATACATATCTTTTCTTATTGTTTTAGAGGTGTTCCCTTAGAGAATATCTAATTTCTTTTTAAATGGCAGTGTTAGAATAGCTTTCTATCTCTTAGGTCTTATTTGAATAATAGTGTCACATATATGAAATTCTTGAAAGCACTTAGGTCCTGGAAGCACTTGCTCAAAATAAATTATTTTTTATGGCCTTAAAGAGAAATATATGAATAGTTTTAACAATATCTGATAAGGGAATCAGGAGCTTCATGTCCCCAGGGCCCTGAACATTTTTGTAGATTAACAGTTGCACGTCTGAATCAAAATGAATGGCAAATTCCAGCAAAATTGAATTCTTCTCTGTAATCTGCTCAGCAAAAAGGTTGTACTCTGTTCTTAAAGAGTATAATGTCATTAGTGTTTGTGTAATTGTTTGTTGGTTGTATTCATGTGGGGTATAATTAAATGTTCTCAGCACTTCCTCAGTGTAAAGTAGTAATCATTGCTAAATACTCTGAAATATTTATTTTGTTCTTGTAGCCCTACAGGATCCCATGTTGAATGGTGTAAACAGCTCATAGCTGCTACCATTTCTAGTCAGATTTCAGGTTCTGTGCCATCAGACAGTGTATCCAGAGATTACAGGGTAAGTGACATCTATCATTTGCGGAATACAAAAATAGTTGTTCAGTCTGTTGAAATGGGTGGGCAGGAAACTTCTTGCTACTTTGATTTATCTACATGGCAAACACTTGAGTGGATCATTGCCCATCTGAGAGTCAAATGTCAGTTAACAGCGAATAGAGAGGTGCAAAGATTTTCTTTGTATTTTATCTCTCATTTAGAGTAACTTCACTGAGTTCCACAGAACAAAAGGTAGGTAGAAAAAGAAAGGAAACTTTGAAGGTGGTATTTTACAGTCATGGTGTGATTTTCTTCTTTCCTTTGATTTTTGTCTAGAAATTTTCTGGAAATTGGTTTCTTTTTTTAATTATAGGAATGAAATATTTGTTTCTTGGTTTGGAATCTTGTCTATGCACCATGCACTCAGGAGAAAGAATTGAGCTATGTGGATTTCACAAAAATTAAATATAATTAGCCTTGGTGAATATTAAATGAGCATATCTTCTCCAGGTGTGAAAAGAACATTTACCTATTTTTACTTTTTTTCCTTTGTTTTGATGTGACATGTCACTATTTGTGGAACGATGTCCCTTTATAAATCAGAACAGACTTTCTCTTGTTTGTTTTCTCATCCAACAATATAGATGTCATTGAGACAATGATTATGCAATGTCTTAGCTCTGATTAGAATCTTTAGGTTTTTTCCTCCCTCCCTTTTCATGCTCTCTTCTGTTTCCCTACATAGAATCATAGGACTGGAAGAGACCTCGAGAGGTTATATAGTTTAGTCCCCTGTGCTCCTGGCAGGACTAAGTATTATCAGGAGCAGTGTGTATTAAATCTCTCTTGCACTGCAAATTGACACAAGTGTTATCTCTGTTTCCAGTCCCCATAAAAGTCCAAAGTTGCTGTTAAGTTCAGGTCTTCCATGTGCTTTATATTCTCTTTCTTCCCTGGAATTAAAACAAAATTGTGTGTTCTGGATGCAAAGTGTCTAAATAAAGATTTTATCTTGTTTGCTTTAAACTGGAGTTTAAAATAGCCTACCAATGCTTTCTGGGTTTAAAAGGCCTTGAATGCTCTGTACAAACAGCATATTTCCTTAACTTCTGTGACTGTAGGTCAAATTCAGCGTGAGCTTGAAGATGAAGTTACTAACTGTATTTGATCTTAGTCTATTTAAAACTTCACCTCACAGAGTTTGTCACTATGTTGGCACAGTCAGCAACTTGTACTCAGAAAAAGCTTAGCTCTTCTATACTCTGGCAGCTGAATTGCAAATGCTCGCTCTGGGTCAAGGCTGATGTCTTTGATAAAGCATTGTGGGAAACCTTGCATTACAACTGTCTGTTGTATTTGCCCTGTAGATCAAGGACTTCATTTTAGCAGAATCCAAGTCTGCGAGTTTAGTGTTCAATTCACCATTTGAGTTATTATGCATTCCTCCAGAGGAGAACCAGTTTTTTAATCTAAATAGTCTGGTTCTCTATTCCAGACTGATCTTGCACATTACTTAAAAGGGAGAAATATTTTGAGGCCTAATGAGCAGCATTTAAATCTATCTCATTCTCTGTCTGTTACAAATAAAAAAAAATTAAACCTTTCTATGCTCAAAATCCCCGTTGTTTATAAATTGTATTTAACATTACATGTCTATGAAAGGATAGAATGAGCTAAACTCCCACATTTGCAAATCACATTGCAGAGTTTCTAATCATAAAATTTTATTTACCTATCCTGAATAATAATGCATATTTTTTTTAAAAGCTAAGAAGCTATTATATGGTGTTTTCCAAGTGCTGCTTTGGAAAAGGGCCTCCTTTGCATTATAACCTCTCTTTCAGATACTTAGTTCTACTGTCCTATTGCCTCCTGATTGCCATGGAATATCCAAGGTTTTACGTATTTCCGGAAAATCAGTTGACTACTGCATACACAATATGTTTTAAATGTCACAATTTGTTTTTAAAGTGGGTGAATTTAATGTATGTGTAAGTGAGAAACTTTGTATAGCAGTAACTAAAATCAAGAGCAACATGGGCAGATGCTGTGCAAACTTCTCCACACAGTTGTCAAAGCATCTGAGTCTTTAATTGCAACCTTCCTATTCTGGTCTTGGGTAAATCATGCCAAATAGCACTAATTTTTGTATGGCTTTCTTTAAGGATGAGGTCGCCATGCTTGTTTCCTCCTATGATCCAAGTAAAGTATCCAGAGATACCTCACACACTTTTCATCACAGTTTTGATATGCATCTGCATTAGCATTTCTCATTTTGAAAATGGACACGGTACCTTTTAACTAATACAAAGTTAATTAAGTTTAGGCAATAGAATATGTATTGACTTGTGCATTTATCCAATAAATTTAACTTACCATATTTACACAATAGATTGTAATGGTTGTGAAGTAATCATTCAAGTTGATCAGCTAGAATGTCCGTGTAAAACTGGCCAACATATTAAATGAAAAAGTTGTTATAGATGAGTAAATGGCAAACAAAAGAGAATCCATATGATTATAATATAATAGTGCCTATAAAGCTTTCCATCTGTCGATATCACAGTGCTTTTTGAAGGCGGGTGAACCTCATTAGCCTCCTCTTACAGATGAGGAAGCTGCGGTGTAGAATGGCTAAATGACTTTCACAAGGTCACCCAGTCAGCAAAGGAAAGCCAGTTTCTAGACTCGCAGACTGGTACCCTCTCCATTGAACCACACTGCATTCAGTGCCTTTTAAAATCTTGATTGGCATTTAAAGAACGTAACACATCAAAGAAACCATATAGGTAGCTGACTTCTAAATTTGTGTTCAGAGTTGTTTGCGTGCGCAAATTGGGTACTTAGTCTGTCTTCCCAATTTGTGAGCAGATTTTTGATTATACAAATGTAAAGGCAGTTTTGAAAATGTGCCCCTAAGTTTTTTGATTTAAATTTCTAGTACAAAAACTGAGACTTAAAGCAGGAATATAGTCCTGAATTGCAGTGCACTGTTACAGAACTTCTGTCTTCAAGGCTGAATAAAAGTGTGAGCAAGAGAGAGCAAATATACTCCTTTCTGAATTTCATTCAGCCTTGCTAATTAAAGTTCAGAAGAAGCTTTGAGATGGATACTTGCTCTTCATGATTAGTTTAAAAATATACAGTTTGGGGCCATTGTCGATGTGGATTGCTCAGAATACAACTTGCCTTCATTACAAAAGCAAGCAATTGCTAGACCTGGTTGATCAGGAGGTGCTGTTGAGTCATCTGTGGGAATGAATGCGATAGCTTAAACTGTTTATGTTCAGGCCTAATGGGTAGAGTCTAGTGGCTTATAATTCTTGCTCTTCCTGAGGGTTCTGCCATCACGGTCTCAATACGAAGGTTCTCTTCTGTCATTCCTTCTGCTCAACGTGTGTGAGATCACTAGGGGCAACAATACCCCTTTTTTGATTGAATCTACATCTTTTAGTCTGCTTGCTTTCCCAGTGTCTGGCCTACTTAGCTGTGGGTGAAAGCTAACTAGCTGGCTTAAGTTCAGCCCAAAAAAATCAGAGGCGAAGTTGTAGTGAAAGCATATCTAGGTATAAGTGTAATGATGGGGTGGGGGAGGATTATTATTGTATCCTTCCTTGAGGGGCTGTTCCACCCTTGGTCTTGTCAATATGCACACTCAGGAGTCTCTTTGCTCATTGCTGCTGCTGAATTCATAGGTAACAGGATGCTGCAAAATGCATTCTGCCCTAGCTAAAACTTCTGAGTCACTCTGATGCAGACCTCACCACGATTATCTGTGACTTGGTCACTCTGGTCTGGGCTATTTTAAAGTGCTGTACCCTTGGAAACTGCCTACCTCTTTAGCTAGACAGGCAGATTTGAATACATAACATCAGTTTTCTTGACAGGTTTCAGAGTAACAGCCGTGTTAGTCTGTATTCGCAAAAGGAAAAGGAGTACTTGTGCCACCTTAGAGATTAACCAATTTATTTGAGCATAAGCTTTCGTGAGCTACAGCTCACTTCATCGGATGCATACAAGCATTCTTACAACTACAATACCCACCTGCGGAAGTAAAGAAACAGATTGATAGAGCCAGAAGAGTTCCCAGAAGTCACCTACTACAGGACAGGCCTAACAAAGAAAATAACAGAACTCCACTAGCCGTCACCTTCAGCCCCCAACTAAAACCCCTCCAACGCATTATTAAGGATCTACAACCTATCCTGAAGGATGACCCAACACTCTCACAAATCTTGGGAGACAGGCCAGTCCTTGCCTACAGACAGCCCCCCAACCTGAAGCAAATACTCACCAGCAACCACATACCACACAACAGAACCACTAACCCAGGAACCTATCCTTGCAACAAAGCCCGTTGCCAACTGTGCCCACATGTCTATTCAGGGGACACCATCACAGGGCCTAATAACATCAGCCACACTATCAGGCTTGTTCACCTGCGCATCCACCAATGTGATATATGCCATCATGTGCCAGCAATGCCCCTCTGCCATGTACATTGGTCAAACTGGACAGTCTCTACGTAAAAGAATAAATGGACACAAATCAGATGTCAAGAATTATAACATTCATAAACCAGTCGGAGAACACTTCAATCTCTCTGGTCACGCAATTACAGACGTGAGAGTTGCGATATTACAACAAAAAAACTTCAAATCCAGACTCCACTGAGAAGCTGTTGAATTGGAATTCATTTGCAAATTGGATACAATTAACTTAGGCTTGAATAGAGACTGGGAGTGGCTAAGTCATTATGCAAGGTAACCTATTTCTCCTTGTTTTTTCCTACCCCCCCCCTTAAGATATTCTTGTTAAACCCTGGATTTGTGCTGGAAATGGCCCACCTTGATTATCATACACATTGTAAGGAGAGTGATCACTCTAGATAAGCTATTACCAGCAGGAGAGTGGGGTGGAGGGAGGTATTTTTTCATGCTTTGTGTATATAAAAAGATCTTCTACACTTTCCACAGTATGCATCCGATGAAGTGAGCTGTAGCTCACGAAAGCTTATGCTCAAATAAATTGGTTAGTCTCTAAGGTGCCACAAGTACTCCTCATCAGTTTTCTTGGCTTTCAGATGGCTCCCCATCAGCTTGTGCACTTCAGATTGAATGATTATCTATTTTTTGTTTCTTAAAATGTCTGTTGGTATGTCCCTGAATCCATATACACAAAAGCAACACATACAGTTGTTACAAAATTCTGAGTATCATGGCTCCCTCTCCTCTGTGTTCCATGGTGGGAGTTTCACTCCACCACAAAGCTTTTGCAAAAATACAAAGGTCAGGAGGGAACATATTGTGCTGCAAAGGGGAATGTGGAATTTGAAGCATGTTGAGCTTGCTTTTTCTTGTTAGACTTGTACTAATGTGCCATACACAGGCAGCATACTTGGTTTTGGGGGCAATCTAACTCTCTAAATTCATAGTGTCTTACGTAAATCTCACCTGACTGAAAACTTAGTAATAACGTGGTGGCCTTGAATGAGGTGGCATTAGTGGAAAGCCCTTAGATAATAATGGCTGCCTAGAAAGTTTTGGAAGTAAGTTAGGGAAAAGTTAGAGCTAACTACACTCTGGTGTTTGACTCAGAAGTGTAGGGCCATCATTTGTCATAGCTATTATTGTGGGCTTACTATATACTATCCAAAAGGATTGCTAAATTCTTCAATTTTTCACTAGTATGTTGTCACTGAATAAAAAGATGCTTAGGACCTGATTTCAAGAGCTTGACTCCCATGTAGACATTAAAATGAAGTGTCCAGATTTTTAAAAGTGCTCAGCACGCTTTGTTGAATGCATAGGGAGCAGCTGTGTATTGTGCAGTTTTGAAAATCTTGCTACTAATTTAAGTACCAGAGTGGGAGTTGAGCTCTTCTGAAAATCTGATCTGCTGCCTGATGTCGTCTCTGTCACAAAGCAACATTTGAATGCACATTTTGTTGGATAACATTTTGTATTTTAACTAACAGGTATACAAGAGGCCTGATATACGGGTAAGAATACATTTGGCTATTGGCAAAACAGCCTCCTACCTGTTTGTCTTTTGTGCTGTGTTGAGAACTTAGCGTGCCTAGTGTTCTTTTTTATGTCATTAATGTTTTTTATGAACCAATCAGACCATTTTGCTATGCAGCTCAACAGCTTGTTTGCCATTGCAATCTTTTCATGAGCAGTAAAAGCCAATGTGTGAGAGAGCCGTATATTTAAGTTATGTTACAAATGTGCAGTACAAACTTCAGTTTTATTATATTAACTCCGACAAAACGGATGCTCATGACTGATGCTTACATGGTTTGGACTACAGAGCACTGTATTAGTGAGTTTAATGTGTTATCTATGCTAAAGAATTTCAGTAGTAGTTTGTGGAAAAACAGTAAGTCTTTGTTTATTCTATTTAAATAAGATTTCAATTCATGTTTGCATTCATACATGTTTTACCTTAATAGATACAGCCGTTGAGCAAAATAGAAAGTTGGGATTGAAGTTAGATGCAATGACCTACATCTTTTTGATGATAATTTTAGAGGCTGGGTTTTATCCAGTGTTTAATGATATAAAAATTCATAGCTTTCTCTTTCACTTTGGAACATTAATCAATTGAGAAAAGAGAGGGTTAATAGTCTGATTTTATTCTCTAAATATTTTAACACTGTCATTCAAACAAGGGTTTGCATTTATTAAAAAAATCAGTTAAGCCTGATCCCCTGGTTTGAGATGAATCAATTATTTTCACATCTGAAAGCTACTTGGATTTGTATAATAATTGTAATACACAAAGATCAATATTTTCAAGGGCAAATCTATCAGAAATTGGAATGAAATAACACAAGAAAATATGTTAAAATAATAAAACTTGATTGTTTTCTTTGGTTTTTCACCTTTATCAGTAAATGTTCAAGGATGAAAAATCATCTTCAGTGCCTGTGCATACTTTCTGTCATCCGTAATCTGTCGGTTTAGAGCTCAATTGCCTTTCTTCCAGTTTTTCCTTTTCCTGGGATTCTAGCATCCACCTTTCTTTGGATTTTAAATATAGAAACAGTCTTCAGCCATTTCTCTGGCCTAAGCTTTAAATAACTACTATATTCACTTTAATAAGGTCTAAACGTTGGGAATCCTGTGTCATTTGAAAGTGGTGGCTGTTGCACTGTAAATTTTTTTAGAAGGATGTAAAAACAATGGAACCTATGTTTTCTACAAATGTAACCCCTTCTGTTAATTTGTTTTCTTTTGGGGGTTTCATAGAAGTGATTAAAATTATATTTATCAAAGCAGATATAAACTGTCTTTCTTTCAGATTTAAGACAAGAAGTGTTATCTGTTAAACGAGAAGTTTTTGTATTTGTGAATTGGGATTGATCTGGAATGTAATCCAACTCTTTGAAAGATGATGGTGGTTTCATTCCAGTTAATTTTGGAATCAGACTGAAGAATAATTTTGGCTGAAAGTAGTAAAAAACAAAACAAAAAACTTGCATATGACCCAATGACCTTTTGTGTTCTTGCCTGTAACACACAGGGATCTTTTTATGATGTAATTTATATAGTAAAAGAGATCCCAATATGATACAACAAGTGTAAGTACATAGAGATGTGAATCTTTTGGCTAATAGATGTAATTTGTGTATATTTTTAGCAGATGTTTTTGACAGTAACATTTAAACATGTGATCTACACAATACAACAGTTCCTTAAATTATCTGAATACTAATGGATATGGAAAATATTTAATTTTTTTCTACAATAAAAAATGCATGAATTTTCCCTTTATACTACTACAACAAGCAATACTCAATTTCTTCTATTTTTAAGCATGTGGCATACATAATTTATATTCTGCATTTTCTCTGCTATAAGGTTGCTTGTTTTAAAAAGACAGTACATACTTTGTGTTCTTTGATACCTGCACTGACTCTTTTCGTGAGACTGCAAATAAATATTCCATTTCATATTGTGTCATAGCTGGGCCTAATAGCTGTGAGTAGTTTATGCAAAGAGTGGAAGGTGTTGAATAAATAAGTTGATGTTGAAGTATCTACTGTCTCTTTAAAAAGTGTGATTCTGTCCTTTCACCTGTTGTCTGCATGTTTTTTTCTTATTACCCCTCTTTTGCCCTACTGCTGTCTCATGCAATGCAGGAGATTCAGGATGGACACAATGGCTATCATTCTGAAGCAGAAGCTGATCAGGTGGCAAGTTTTACTCCTCGTTTGTTCATTAACTGTGTAGTAAATTACTGTATAATAGCCCATCTACAGTATGTAGAAATCCTCCATTGTTAAGTTCTGGGGAGCAATAGAGAATTTCAGAATATTACCTCTAAACTCCTATCATTACAAACAAACAAACTGCACCCAAAAAACTAGAAACAGCCCTCTCCCACAAGCAGAGTTTTTAACCCCAGAAGGGAGAAGTGCCAGAGATATCATGAAGACCATTATGGACTTGGCAACATGCATTGCTTCTGAAGCTCTTTTCTTCGGATTCAGGGTTTATTAAAAGTTTATTGCACCTTAATTTAATAATATTAATGGGTAGCTATAAAAAACCCTGTTTTCTAATACTACGTTTTTAAGGCTCTGAACAAATAACGTGCATAAGAATCTAAAATGGTGGCAACATTACCTCCCAAAAGCTTAGCTATGAATATATTCTTTGTGGGGGTGGGGGAGAAAGCTTCTGCTGAAAATAAACTGTGATTCTAAATGTTTTTAGACAATCAGCTGTGAGAAAACTACTTGGACAGTAATGTGGTTGAACTCTGACTTTAAATAGAATTTAAAGGAAAGCCCCCTCTTAAAATGTAGAACTTCTGATAAATGAAAAGCAAAATACAATGCTTAACTGCTAAAACAATAGAATTTGGTTTTTGGCATACCAGATTGTGTATGAAATAATGTGTTGAAGTTCTTATAAAGATTTGGTTAAAAATTCCTAGTCTTACCTGCATGCATCTCCCCTAATTCATTAAGATTTTCTGCAGATTTTCTGCACTTCAAGAGAAAAGTGACCCTGTGTGGGACTGAGTAGGTGAAGTGTCTTTACAGTAAATTATAAGGATATTTTTGCTTTCATTCAAAAGATGTTTGTCTTCTGTGTACTATACAGAAAACATTATACATATTGGTATGTCTAAAAATGTTTGGTTATATCGGGAAATATAAATGTTGTTCCTACTCTTTATTTTATACTGGACACATGCATTGATAAATAAATTCTTTAATAAAGAGTACATAAATTATTATTTATCTGGGCCTAAGGTAAATTATGTACTTCCAATTTATGCAACTTCTTGCTTAAGCAACTTATTTGCTTCTGAACTCAACAACCACTATGTTACATTTGGTTGAGATCTAGTGCTCTTTCTTAGAGACAAATGTGTCAGGAATTTTTAAAATATAATTTGATAACGATCAGTCAGGACTGGCATTTCCTAATGAAATTAATACATCTTTAAATTACACATACCATAATGATTTTCAAAAATATTTTACTTTGATGTCATTTTTCAAATTAAAAGTTATGTTTCTGACAATGAAGAAGGAATTATATTCTGTCTGGTGCAGGAAGGAAACCCCATTTGCCAAGGTAGCGCTTTTGTGACTGTATAAGAGGTCATGAAATATAAATTATAACACTGCACTTGGACCCCAGTCTAGCAGAGCATTTAAGCATGTGCTTACCTTCAAGCACCTGAGTAGTTCCATTGACTACTACACTACACCCTGTTCCATGATAGAGCTTAGATACCAAATTCTGCTAGTTTCAGACAAAATTAAAAACAAAAAGCCCATATGAATGTATGCTAAGAAAACAATTTAATGTTAAAGGTTTGTGTTTAAAAATATAAAATATCTGATAATCTTATTTCCTTGCTTGCAAGTCAGAAATTTGTTACAAGGGATGAGTATCTGTATATGTTTCTATATACTATGAAACTAGCTCACTGTTTATATTCTTCTAATGTAAAATATTCCAACTTTTACACCAAACACTTAAAATGGAAATCCTAAACTCTCACCAAAACATCCTGTGTTGTCAGCTCCTTTATATGGTCATTAAAAATTTTGTAAACCCTTAAGTTCTCCACTAAAATCTTCTTCAGAACGTTACAAACATCAGCAGAAAACTAAAGGCCCCTTGTTGCAGTATTTAAGGAGGAAGCCATTCACCTGAACATTAGCTTTAAAATCAATCCCTGAATTTATATTGACTGGCTTTTGAGACTCTCTGGAAAACAATGTGACATCAAGCTATAATCTGAATTCTTAGTTCTATCATCTCTATAAAATATCTCCGTCAGACCAAGTGGTGCTTACGACAATGGTACCTTGTCAAGTAGGGTATAGTAGAATGTGTCTGTCTGTCTGATATATATATGTAAATATATCTATTTTTTTTTACATATAATGTGATTTGATTTTTTTTAATGCTAAATAATTAAACTTCGCATACTATTCTCTTTGATAATTAAATGTTAGCTATTTTAATAAGGTGTCGAGAAATAAAGAATATAAATGCTTTTAAATAAACTCTTCTAAATCTTCTTGAGTAGATGATAACCTAAAAACACAAAGATTAGCCTAATTTTTTTGGCCTAATTTTGGGCAAATGGTATTGCTTACGTTTTTGTGCGCTATATATGTAGCTGGCACGTTAAATTAATCGTGTAAGTGGTTTGTTACTAATATTTAAATGTCTGCATAATAAATACTTTGTTACCTACGATATCAAGCCCTGTTTTCTAATGCAGCATTGTTTAACACAGTTGTGCTTTGGAAAAAGGATACACATTCTCATGCTCCCATAACCTCTTAGCAAAAGCACTTTGCAGCAAAGTGTATCGATGGTGTGCAGATGGAATGTGAGATTTACTCATGGTTTTGGATTTCTGCCAGGCACTGAGGGATGGAAACAAGCTGGCACAGATGGAAGAGGCACCACTTTTCCCTGGAGAATCAATCAAAGCGATTGGTATGTGTAGTTTTGAATTTATAGTATTAAATCATTACTTTATGAATAAAGATAAAATCAAATGGTTTCTGTATTGGTTTTGTTCTTTCTTCTTATAGTTTATAATTCTACCTTGAATGATCAAATTTGCTACGGATTTTCTTAGTTATTCAAACCCTAACGCTATGCTATAAGTAAATCAGTTCAACATAGTGTAAACAGATCTGTGTGGTATTTTATTTCAACAAGCAGCTGATCGACACAGACAAATTAGCAAGGTTGGAGGGAGGGTGCATCTGTGCTCAAAATTTCCCCATAGGTCATAAATTCATTCCCGAGTTTCAAGCACTTCAGGATTTAGCCCGGAAAGAAAATGAAAATGTGGTGTTGACTGTCCCATTTTAATTAGATCTTTTGCAGTCAAATGACCTGCTGTGGAAAGTTGTGTGGTGGAATTAGTTTGTAGGGACCACAAAAAGATCACTGACTACCAGAATGGAGATTGTAACCCAGTCTGTAGTGGCAAAAGGTACACAGTCACTCATTCTACTATCAAGAGCTCTAATTGGATACAGTCTTAATGCCAGATTTTTCAAACTGCTCCAAAAACCTGAAATAATCTGTGGAAATCTGATAGCTATATATAAACCCTCTCTGTTTAAGTATGTGCAAAATAGAAGGCCTTAGGTTTTAGTTTTTGTGAAGTAACATAGTTTGATCTTGGGGTGTTTTGTTGGATGCAAGTAGAACAGTTATGTGAAACCAGGTTGCTAAACTGTCACTGTTTATTCTACTGAAATGTAAAAATTATTTTTAAAAAGGTATGCAAAACCCAGATTTGGACATAATCTTTGCTCAGACACATTACTTGAGCAGCTAACTTGAGCATTAGTTTCAGGATGACTGTTGCTTGCCACATGAGCCTTCCCATCTGACTAATGTAAGGTGCGACAAGGGCAGAGAATGCTGTTGTGATTGTCAGAAAAAGGGAGATATGGTGTTGCCTGGTATTTTTGCAATATGAAGACTTTGGGACTCCTCGAATTCTGATTTGAAGTCGATGAAATGTGCACAGAACTCACATATGGATGGTGACAGGACAAATAGCTATTATTCCAAGCCACTGTGGTTTTCTTAAATATAAGATACAACAAACTGGCAACTTTGGAGAAAGGCAAAAGGCTATTTCTCATGTTACATAAAATATTTGTATGCCATTTCATGGACTCCCCACAAAAACATTCTGTATAGTATAGCTCCAATAAGGAGTAATGCTTCATGTCACATCACCATTCTCTTAGGCTGGTTTATGGTGGGGATTTAGCACGTATTGCTTAGAACTGAAGAATTTGATCATTCTCTTTGTAAATACCTTTTTAAAAATGCAGAGGACTTTTTCTTTCAAATCAAAATTTGAGAGTAGAAGGTCAGTTATAGTGGCTTTGAAATAGTTTCATATAGAAGTCTCAAAGATCTCTAGTACATTGGAACTGTAGGAGGTTTCTTGTATACAATTTTTGTTTTTCTATAAAGAGCTTCTTATAGCACAAATGCCTACAATAATAAAATGGAACTTTCATTTCTGTCTTTTTCCAGCTAAAGATGTCATGTATATCTGTCCATTTATGGGAGCAGTCAGTGGTACACTGACAGTGACGGACTTCAAAATGTATTTCAAAAATGTTGAGAGGGTGAGACTTTAAGATCTATGTGCATATTTCTTCCAGCTAGAATCTGAAGTAGATTTTCAGAAGGTGACAAACTTAGTTTAAATTAAATGTAAAGTAGTTCCACAGCAATCAATTCAAAAGGAACTATAAAAAGACTAGTAGAACACACAATTTGACATGAATTATGCTAGATTACATATACTTCCCAAGGCAATTAAAAATGTTTTTATCTTATTTTTTAATCCGAATTTCAGGATCCACATTTTGTTCTTGATGTTCCCCTTGGAGTAATAAGTAGAGTTGAAAAGATTGGAGTGCAGAGCCATGGAGACAACTCCTGTGGTATAGAAATTGTTTGCAAGGTACAGAATGAATTCCTAGGAAATGCAGTGGATGCCTATCTATTACTGTTTAATTGCATTAATTTCATTTTTGTATTAAGGGGAACCTGCACCCACAATGCCTTGTGTTATTGTTCTATCTGATCCCATAAGCATGCTGGGTTTGGATGGAATTTGGATGGGAAACTTGCAAGAAATGTTTCACCTCATTGGTGAATTCAAGGGTATAATGCCTACTTCAGTGGCATATTGAGACCTTCCTGATTTTTCCAGTAGTCTCATTTTAGAACAGAATTTTGTTAATGACTAGGAGAGTTAGAAAATGTGACTTGCCTTAATGTCAGTAGCCAGTGCTTAGTTTCAGTCAGCTTTGTAACTGCATCTATTTTTTTTTTAATTTATCAAAGTGTAAGAGAGTTTGACTTATTTTCTGACAGGATATGAGAAACTTGCGGCTTGCCTATAAACAGGAAGAACAGAGCAGACTGGAGATATTTGAAAACCTCGTAACTCAAGCATTTCCTCTTTCTAATGGGCTGGTAAGTACTAAAATGGGGAAAGGACTGCCTGCCTCTGTTTGTCGTCTTCTTGGAAGTGTAGGGAAATAAGCAAATACTGCATAACAAATATATTAATTTGTTGATTCTAGATATCATGAAGCATTCAGATTACTCTGGCTTGACTTCTTTATTTCAGTAATTTACAGAACTGAGAGCCAGGTGCTGCTACCAGTGAAAACAGTGACTTTATTGGTTTCAGGGTTTGTTGACTTTCATTATAAGCATTTGTCTATAATAGATAATTGGGGAATTTCAGAATGAAGGATAAAGGAGTTTGGTGCCTAAGGCCCAGTTTGGGGACTGTGATGCACAAAACTCCCACTGAACCCTGTAGGTGCCTAATCTCACTCAGTCCCTAGGCACCTATGTTTCTGCCTCTGGGCATGCACCCTGCTTCCTTCCTCTGGACAGCAGGTGGCTTATCTCTCACCTAAACCTCAGACATTCACAAACTGGGGAAGATAGTTGTTCGACCACCTAAGTCTTGTGTTAGACCTGATCCAGTAGGTACCCTCTGAGCACAGCTACCTGATTTGGCTCCTTAGGGGAGTTCAGACAAAACAACTGGAGAGTGGGGAATTATTGGAACTCCCTCATAACTTTTAGCCCAGTGATCACTTGTGATGTGGGAGACTCCTGGTTCAAGTCCCCCCTCTTTCTGAATGGGAACAGGGATCTGCCAACTTTTCAGGGCAGTGCTCTAACCATTGGGCTGTGGGTTTTTCTCAGTCTCTTCTGTTTAACTCTGGATAAATAATTAGTCATTCTGGCCAGAGAAAGAGAGTGCATACAAGGGTGAGTGACTCCATAGCTTGATGGGAGATCCAGGATCCAGTCCTACCGCTCTAGTGACTCTTTAATTATTTATCCAGAGTGGAACAGCTTCAACAGGAGAGGCTGAAGGAGCCCCACATCAGAATATTCCATAGCCCAGTTGTTCCCATCCTCCCAACCCCAGGGCTTCTTGCAAACTCTGAAGAGAATTCCTGGCTGTGACTTGCTAGCAGAGATAGGTGCTTCTCTACTGCCTGGACTTAGGCACATATCATGGTGAGAGGGACACACAACCGCTACTTGGCATCTCCCATTGGCTAGCTTAGGTAGCTCCCTGCCAACCGGGCTGGCTTTTGTGAATTGCAGCCTGTTTATTTACAGGGCAATAAAAAAAAACACCCCATGCCCCAAGTTTCAGAGACCGGGACAATTGACTTGGGCTCGCAGGCTAGGGCTGTAGGGCTAAAAATGTCAGTGTAGACACTCGGGCTGGAGCCCAGGCTCTGAAACCCATTCCCCTTGCAGGGTTTCAGAATCTGGTCTCCAGTCCAAGCCTGAATGTCTACAATGCAATTTTTAGCCCCACAGCCTAAGCCCCGTGAGCCCAAGTCAACAGACACAGGTCAGCCGTGCTCATGTTGTGGGTCTTTTATTACAGACATATTTTCAGGCGGATCTCTCTCCTCATTCATTGTATAGGGAACCTAAGTGCCTAACTCAGGCTTTGTGAATTGCAGCTATTTTCTAGGGGCCTAAAAGTTTGGCGTTGTGATGCTCAGCGTCAGAATGCCTAACTCCTCTTGTGCATCCAGGCCAAAGTGCTTTCCCGAATTCAATGTCCAGATAACAATAGCTAGGCACAAGTTGCCTTGTTAGCTTTAGCTATACAATTTCAGTATCATATTAGTATACAATTTCAGTATCGTCCAATGGGTAGGGTACTGGACTGAGAGTGATGGGGCTTGAATTCTATTCATGGCCTTACTGCTGACCTGTGTGACCACGGGCTAGTCATTTTACCTTTCTGTTTCCTTTGCTATCTGAATTGACAAGACACACAATCTCTTTGGGGAAGGAACTGTCTCTTCTTTTGTGTTTGAACAATCACTAGTACAGTGAAGCCCAGTCTTGACTGGGGCCTCTAGGCACTACTGTAAAACAAATGTTGTATATAAGATTTTGTCTTTTGGAAACTATTGAATCAGCTTTTGTGGCTTTCATTTTCAGAGCTCACCATGTTTACAGGAATTCTAGTTTACTAAATGGCTAAATACTGCATAGTAATTTGTGTTTTAACATTGTTGCTTTCAGCCACTTTTTGCATTCAGCTATAAAGAAAAATTTTCTGTTAATGGTTGGAAAGTTTATGATCCAATGGCAGAATATAAGCGGCAGGTAGGTTATACAAGTAATCCCCTTTTCATTTTGTTTTGGTAGTCTTCTGAACCTAATTTACCTTTTTTTAGAAATGTTCACAGACAATTTGCAAACCTGAGTAACTAAACTTACTCTCTTAAATCCACATTTAGACATCTAAATGCAAGTCACCTAATTTTCAGTAGTGTTAGGCGCCCACAAATCCCATTGAAATCAATTGGGATTATAGGTGAGGAAGTCTCTTGGCAGTTATATAGGGACCTAAATCCGTATTTGGAGACTTAATTTTAAGCACCAGTTCTGAAAAGGTAGTCTGCTCATTTAAAAACAAATATGACCAGCAGTTACACAGAGGAATAATTTTAGTTTGGTCTCCTTAATCCATCAATTTCCTGGTGTAAAATAATTTCTTTCTATTTCACTATAGGCCCATTTTTTACTTTAGTGCAAACCCATCCAAATCACTGTTGCTTTTTAAATTATCTATAGGCTTTGGGGCTTCATACTGCCCCATATCTTTAACCAAAATATTGAGAAATGCTTCTGCTCACGTAACCTTTGAAACACTGTGCAGAACAATGTGGGTATGGTTTTTTTAAAAAAACATGTAATGGATCGTTCTTTTTTGGAGTCACTATACAACACACACGTAAAGATCTAACTTTTTTAAAACATTGGATAAATGTTTTGCCTCTGCACAGGGTTTACCTAATGAGAGTTGGAAAATATCCAAAGTTAACAGCACCTATGAACTTTGTGATACATATCCTACTATCTTTGTTGTGCCAACCAGTGTGAAAGATGATGACCTCTCAAAAGTGGCAGCATTTAGAGCAAAAGGCAGAATTCCAGTAAGTAAGGCCTCTAATATTCATTATGAATTCTCTCTGTATTTGTAATGTATCTTCCTGAAGAAGAAATGTATTTGTAATGCATCTTATAAGAGATGCCTTTAGGGTTTTTAAAGGCTTCTGAGACAGCTATCCAGCTCCCTTCTACGAGAGAGGGCGAGTATAAAATGTATAGAAATACACTTACTGGTTTTGGAGCTGGAGGAAATTTTTAAAAAATTAATGAAGATAGTTATCACAGGGTTAGTGCAATTGTCCAGTGGCTTACTGCTGTGTACTGATCTTTAGTTCAAAGATGGCGTCTGACGCTAGTGGGGAACTGAAAGTGTCTGGTTGTGCTCCCCCTTGCTCCCATGGTGAGTGAGGTTTGGGGGTGAGATGGAACGTGTGTGGTATCATTCTGACACCACATTGTGAGCTTCCTCAGAATGGCAATGTGTTCTTGGTAGAGATTATCCTACTCAGCTGCTCATATAGAGGGCTGTAAATGCAGCCATATTATACATGGGGAGGGTAAACTTTAGAAAAGAAATGACAACCCCAGGAGGGAGAAAGAAAGTGAGGAATTTTAATGTGATGTCATCTTGCAGTAGTTCCTGCCTGGGGCAGGAAGGAATGAGATATGTTCATGCTTGACTGCATAGACCTCCATACAGACGTAGCTTCCCGTTCTCCCCACCACAAAACCCTCTTACTGTATTTAAGCCCGTAGAAAGTATGTAGAAAGTAAAAGTTAAGGCTGTTTCTGAATGCTACGGAGAATAAAGTCATCGTTGTTTAGAACTACTTCACGTTTCAATCTAACTAAATTTGGGAACAGTGATACCATGTCTTTTACAGCCATGCTATTAATCTGCTATTTTCTCATCATCCCACTTTTGAATGTATGTGGTATGAATTATTCTTACTGAAATTTACATTCTCTCTCCCACTGGGAAGTTGTACCATGGCTTATTATGACTGACCAATTGCTCTAAGGACTGTCAATTTGATGCTGGTGCACTATCCTGAAACTAACTCTTTTTTAAACGCAGGTGTTGTCTTGGATTCACCCCGAGAGCCAGGCAACTATAACGCGCTGCAGCCAGCCACTGGTAGGCCCGAATGACAAACGTTGCAAAGAAGATGAAAAATACTTACAAACAATAATGGATGCCAATGCTCAGTCGCACAAGCTTATCATCTTTGATGCCAGACAAAACAGTGTTGCTGATACAAACAAGGTAGGTTGTCATTTGTTAAAATGGAGATTACTTTGCCCATGTACTGAGAAATAAACTTTATTCTGATATTTCCATAGAAGTTCACTTCTCATAATAAAGTAATATATGTGTAAGCCCCTTGATAGTATCAAAGCGTTTTGTCAGCGTTAACTAATTCTTGCAGCAGCCCTGTGAGTTATTGCTATCTCCAGTTTAAAGTTGGGTGGAGACTGAGGCAGAGATTGACTTGATTGCAGTCACAAGTGTTGTCAGAACCAAGATTTGAACTTATTGGTTCCTAGCTCCTTGTCCTGTATTGTAAAAGAATCCTTCTGTCGAGATAGTAACTTACTGAAGAAGTACTTCAATGGCCTGGACATGGGCCAATTGAGTTTATTACAGTTTGAGTCAGTTTTGCAAATAGAAGAAAGCTGTAGGAAGTAGAGATGTGCTGGTAATGATTATGGTGGGAGGAGAGGGGAAAAAGCCTACATGGAGTCCCCTGATTTATTTCTTATGTATATGGCATCAATTACCGAAGTAACTGTGCACTGAAATAGTGTACTTAAAAATAAATAGGGGTGGGGAAGGAACGTAGTAGTCCAAATTAACCCTAACCAGGTGCTTCAGAGGGAATGAACAGAACAGGCAATCATCAAGTGATCCATCCCCTGTCGTCCATTCCCAGCTTCTGGGCAGGGCCGTCCTTATCTGGGCAGGGCCGTCCTTACCCATACACAAACTATGCTGCGTGCTGCTCCAGCGGCCAGCCTGATCCCCGGCCGGCTGAGCTAGCCAGGAAAGCAGCCCCAGCCCGTGCTCTGCCTCTTTCCCAAAGCCTCCGCCCCGCCTCTTCCCACCCTTGCTCCACCCCAGGCCCACCCCTGCTGCATCCCGGGGGACTGCAGCAGGGGTAGCGCACGCCCTGTACTCACCGGGCAGTGGGAAGTGGAGTGACCCAGCCCCAGCCTGCTCTGCTCCGCCGGTTCCCAGTTGCGCCGCTGGTGAGTGCTGGGGAGTGGTTCCCCCATCTCCCCAAGTCCCAAGACTGGGATCTAGGGGAGCAGAGAGGGCTGGGGCCAGGTCACTCCACTTCCCACCACCCCGTGAGTGCGGGAGGAAGTGGAGGAAGTGCAGCGACCCTGCCCCAATCTGCTCCGCTCTGCCGACTCGTGCTGGGGGGTGGTTTTACCCCTGCCCCCCCAAGCCTGCTTCTGCCCCCCCTGCGGAGGCCTGGGGCCAGTCCCTCCCCCCCTCACAGGCCTGGGGCACCAAAATGTCTAGGGACAGCCCTGCTTCTGGGAGTAGTTAAACATCAGTGTTTATTTTTCTTAAAATGTGTTTTCATTTGTTCTAAAATAACCGCCTCTAAAACTCCCTAGAAAGCAAAAATAACCCTCAGGATCTTATCAGAAACTCCTGTACTCTTTAAAATTTTAAATGACAGGCAAAAGGTGGAGGATATGAAAGTGAAAGTGCCTACCCAAATGCTGAGCTGGTCTTTTTGGAAATACATAACGTACATGTGATGAGGGAATCATTGCGGAAGCTGAAAGAAATAGTTTATCCTTCGATTGATGAGGCACGGTGGTTGTCCAATGTGGATTCAACGCACTGGTTGGAATACATAAGGGTAAGAGACTATAGATGTTAAAGACATTGCATGCTTTTTGCTTTTTAAAGCAATGTATTTGCTTGAATTTCAATATACCACACTAGAAATCCTTTCTCTGTGTTTATAATGTCTTTGGTCAGGATAATCCTAAAAAGTAACCCTTTTTACAAGTTTTATTTAGAACACAATATTTCAGATAGAATATAAATATATGCCATACTGCATATTATGTATTTCATACTGTAGGTTTTAGGAAGTAGTCAATTAAATCCTGATAATGTAGGATCACATTCAGTTCTGGACAGCACTTAGTTTTCATGAGAGTGTGAATGTTGGCCGGGATACCAGGATTATCCCTGCTTTTTGGAAAAGTGCCATGGGAAATTCAAATTCCACTTGGACAACTACCAGCGGGACTTCATTTTTAAACACCACAGCCCTCCTCATCCTGCCATTCTATGCCATTAATGAAGCATTTGTGGACATGTATATTTCAGTGGGCCTAACTTCAGTGGAAGATGGATTGGTCTCTGTTACCATATGGATTACAGTCTCCTTTTATTATTTAACACTGCATTAAAATAAGTCAGTCTATATCATGTTTAAATTTACTAAGTGTTTTATTAACCTCTAAGAAGCTTTTAGAATGGATGATTTCTCTGCTATTTTCCCTTCTTTTTGGTGGTAAATATTGATGGAATGGCATTTAATGTGGAATTTGCTTTATACAACTTCAAATCAAATGTCACTCATGCAAAGCATTTTTGGATTGTGCACAAAATTATTCATATAATCTTAGCTCTGGTAATTCAGTTTAACTGCTACAGAAGAGCCAGCAGAGGGAGCAAAAATATAAAATATTTGCTATTTTGGGAAGAACTTAACTTTCTTATTTAGTTTAAAATCTTCCATTCCTATCAAACTAGTAAATATTCACAATCCAGAAGCCTTTTTCCATCCAAATTTATGAATTTGATACTTAAGTTTGACTGTCCATTTAAAAAAGAACTGGCTGTAGACCAGATAATGAGATTGAGATGTGATTAACTTCAGTGGGAGCTCTCTGCTTGAATAGGATGGCAGGATTGGACCCTGAAATCTCAATTTCGTAGTTAAGTTTAGAATAGTACCCTGAGAATTTTTAGACTGATGAAGATGGTAGTGGCTGACATATGTTTATCTCTATTTAAAAAAAATTCTGTCTGAGTACAGTCTGTGGATGATGCTCAGAATTTTTCAACTTATTTGGTGCTAGCTCAAGCTGCAGCTTAATTGTAAAAGACTTTTTGGTTATGTCTACATTAAAAATGCTACAGTGGCATAGCTTCAGCAGTTCAGTGTAGGCACTAAGGGCTCGTCTATACACATAGCACTGAAGTGGTGAATCTGTATTGGTAAAGCTGTGCTGCTGTAGCACTTTAGTGAAGATGCTACTACGTGGATGGGAGAGCTTCTCCTGTTGGCATGGTTAATCCACCTCTGTAAGAGGTGGTAGCTATGTCAACAGGAAAAACTCTCCCTTTAACATAGTGTTGTCTACACCATGAGTTAGGTCAGTATAACTACCTTGCTCAGGGGTCTGGATTTTTCACACCCCTGAGTGATGTAGTTATACCAGTGTAAGTTTGTAGTGCAGACCTGGCCTCACTATAGCAACCGAAGGGGTTCTCCCATCTCTGTAGTTAATCCATCTCCCCGAGAGGCAGTAGCTAGGTCAGTGGAACAATTCTCCATTCGACCTAGCCCTGTCTACACTGAGGGTTAGGTCGGCACAGCTGTGTCTCTTAGGGGTGTGGCTTTTTCATACCTCTGGGAGACCTAGCAATGCCAATGTAAGTTTTCAGTGTAGACCAGCCCTTCGTGGTGTTTAGCTACCACAATGATAGGTAAGTTAAAAATACTGAAAGAGAAGTTAACATGTCATAAATATAAAGGGAAGGGTAAACCCCTTTAAAATCCCTCCTGGCCAGAGGAAAAATCCTCTCACCTGTAAAGGGTTAAGAAGCTAGGATAACCTCGCTGGCACCTGACCAAAATGACCAATGAGGAGACAAGATACTTTCAAAAGCTGGGGGGAGGGCAAAACAGAGTCTGTCTGTGTGATGCTTTTGCCGGGGACAGAACAGGAATGGAGTCCTTAGAATTTAGTAAGTAATCTAGCTAGATATGTGTTAGATTATGATTTCTTTAAATGGCTGAGAAATTAAGCTGTGCTGAATAGAATGGATATTCCTGTCTGTGTATCTTTTTGTAACTTAAGGTTTTGCCTAGAGGGATTCTCTATGTTTTGAATCTAATTACTCTGTAAGGTATTTACCATCCTGATTTTACAGAGGTGATTCTTTTTATTGTTACTTCTTTTTTACTGTTACTTCTATTAAAATTCTTCTTTTCAAGAACTGAATGCTTTTTTCCATTGTTCTTAAGATCCAAGGGTTTGGGTCTGTGGTCACCTATGCAAACTGGTGAAGATTTTTATCAAACCTTCCCCAGGAAGTGGGGTGCAAGGGTTGGGAGGATTTTGGGGGGAAAGACGTTTCCAAACAACACTTTCCTAATAAAATAAACCCAGATAAACGTTTGGTGGTGGCAGTGGAAGTCCAAGGGCAAAGGGTAAAATAGTTTGTACCTTGGGGAAGTTTTAACCTATGCCTGTAAAAGTAAGCTTAGGAGGTTTTCATGCAGGTCCCCACATCTGTACCCTAGAGTTCAGAGTGGTGAAGGAACCTTGACAATAAAGTATTTTATGGAAAAAATAAAATTTAGTTTCTTTAAAATTTTTACAAATGAACCATTTGTCCAAAGTGGAACAAAATGCCCCACCTCATTCCACAAGATGTTGCTAAACTAATACTACCTAGCTTTTGTTCCTTCTCCCATTTTCTATTCACTGCCTGCATCTACTCTCTCTGCAGTAATGCTTGACTGGCATGAGTACCACTCTCAGTGATCTTTCTAGGACATAGAGTGCTGCTATACTTATGTCACATGAATTGTCTTTTTCCATTCCTTTTCAAAGATCCAACAACATAAGATGACTTTTTGTAATATTTATAATTTTTCAGTGCAGTAATGCATTGTCTGTGACTTAATAAACATGTGAGAGCTTTAGGACTAACCAGATCAAATTGCACGCCTTTTAATTTACTAACTCAAGCTTTAACATTGAACTACAGTAGTTACATCCTTGCATCCTTCAGTTTAACCATAAAAGAACAAAATCTATGTAGCTTTTGTCTCAGAAGCCTGAATGGCTTTCAAGATTGTGTCCTGTGAAAGCAAAGTTGCTCCAGTGGATGCAGGCTTTCCAGCTTTGGAAGTGTCTTTGCATGCCTTGGAAGAGAGAGATCTCAAATGTCTCATTAGATTGTCTTTACTGACGTCAGAGTTGGCTTTGCTGAGGTCAGAATCCGAAGTCCGGAGCCCTTCCAACGGCCCTAGTTCTAGCTGCTTCTCACGTAGTTGTCAGTGCTATCAGGAATCGTGTTGTGGACACATCTGTGCCGGAGAGAATACTCCAAGTTAAACAACTGAAGAGCTGCCAAACATGACTGAGGAAATCAATAGAAGGAGTTTCATTGGAAAAAAATAAGTGTAATGCTCTTATGAGTTGCTACCGTCTTGTGCCACTCTGACTTCTGATCCAAGTTATTACTAGTAGAAATAAAGACCCGTTCCCTATATGAACATCCTGTATACTCCATGCACCAACAAATCAGGGCAAGTGATCAGCAAGCAAGCACACCCCTTTTCTTGTCTGGACTTCCCAATAATCTGCTATAGGGTTTGATTAGCTGCACTCCCCCCCCCTGTACATACTGGTTGAAAACTGAATGCTGAGGAAGAAAGATGATAATAGTTTGCGGGATACCTGAATTTATTAAAAGGATTGATCTTATTCTGTAGTCTTTTGAGTAATCTTTCTACTGAATAGTCTACAGTATATCTGAGTGTTTTCTTTATGAACAGATTTTCAGGAGATTCTAATGTTAATTTACAGTAGTTTTGGACACATAATTGGGTTTGAATTCTAATGTTAAAATATAGCATTCTAGGACTGATTGCTACTTTACTTCAAGAGGTTGGCTTGATGTGACATTTTAACATGCTACTTTCTTTTTTTTAAAAGATTCTTCTTGCTGGAGCAGTAAGAATTGCTGATAAAATTGAATCTGGTAAAACATCAGTTGTTGTACATTGCAGTGACGGCTGGGATCGTACAGCCCAGCTCACATCTTTAGCCATGCTCATGTTGGACAGCTATTACAGGACTATCAAAGGATTTGAAGCTCTTATAGAAAAAGAGTGGATAAGTTTTGGACATAGGTTTGCAATGGTAAGTTGAAAGAATTAATAAAATTATCTCCTTCAAAGCTTTTTTTTTTTGATCAGGTGGCTTGTCACTGTATTTTGCAACATTTAGAATAATGTTCCTGCGGTATGTGAAGAAAGAGAAATATGAGTGATTTAGTGTTCCGTTGATGTGAAAATGCTTTGTGTGAACTATTAATACACAACAATTTCTAATATAAAGTTTACAAGAGGGGCAGAGTTTGAGCCAATAGCACAAGACAAATGTCGAGACATTTCTGGAGGAGGGGAGGATTGCAGAGCATGGTGAAAAACTTACATGAACAGATCTTACTTGAGGAAAATGAAAAGGAGAAAGCTATGGCTGTCATGTAGGTAAAAATCACTAAAGTCATCATCCCACAGCCACAGTGTTTAAAGAAAGAAAAAAAATAGCTTGAGCTGGAATATTACAAGATTGTGGTGCTGTATGCGGGCTTCTGAACTAGAGAGGTAGTTGTCGTAACATTTAGTTATGGTGAGTGGGTATGGAATAGACATAGTTTCTGCATAGTCCTTGTAAACTACCTTTCGGTTAAAGTTAGTTGATCCAGCATAATATGCCAGATTCACTGAATCCATTCTGCTGTGGAAATGAAGTGGAGGATATATCTCCTGCAGTTCTGAACTATTTATTCTTTCCTCATATGTAGGAAGAAGCAGATATCCTTATGTTGAGTCTTTGAATCAACAAGATCATTTGGGGTTTAATGGGATGTACACTTTAAAAATAAGTTTAATGTCACTCAGACCACTGGAAAATGTGTGAATTTCGTGGACTGGGTGCTCTTCCTATTCTGCCAGACTATAGGACTATATTTGTGAATGTATTCTGGTGGGGGTTTTTAGTTATAGGAAGGGTGGGGTTTAGCTTGAAGAAAGGTGTGCTGATCACAGTCCTTTTCAAGAACCTGCCTAAGATCTTTGCAGAACTTGTGTTATTGGTTACTGCTTTTAAATGGATTTGACTAAAATGAAAGCATCTGTTTTTCAGCGAGTAGGTCATGGAGCCGATGACCATGCTGATGCAGTCAGGTCTCCCATTTTCCTTCAGTTCCTTGATTGTGTTTGGCAAATGACGAAGCAGGTAAGAAAATTTAATCGGATGTTCATGGGGATGTCTTCCTCCTCTTTATTGAAACTCTGATCCATAGGGGAGGCCCTGTTTTCCTTAAATGTGCACAATTTTAAATTTTGGTTAAAGAATTTTAACTGTGGGTAGGCTACTGAATACACTGGAGGAAGAACAAACCCATTAATTCATGCACAGTTAGTACTGCTTTTTCATCTAGAAGAGATGTGAGACGGGCTAGTGTAGAAATACCGACGTGAAGCCAATGGCCAGGCATTTCTTTGTGTTCTGAATAGACTGTTTAACGTGCATTTCTGCAAATTGAAGCACTGAATTGTCTCAAAGCATTTTAAATTGAAAAATGAATAAGATTAATGGCTCTTTCTTTTTTGAACCTATCCTCCTTAAAGTTTAGTTTTTCCAGTGGTTAGAAACAGATGTGACTAGACCACTGTATATTATGTAGGGTCTTGCAAGCTGAGCATTCAGTTTATTAGTAAGCAGAGATGTAATTCTGTAAATTGTGTTTAAAGTGAAAACTAATATAGAGTCAAATGGCTTTTTACCCAGCTGTTTTTAACCTAATTAAATAAGCAGTGATGACAAATTCAAAAGTTAGATTTTCTTTAAATAAATAAATATGCACAGTGGTCTACCCTGACAGTTCAGTGAAAGTAGAGAGATTCTAGAAGAAAATCTTTCTCAGAATTCTTTGATTAAAGTCAGAAGTAATAGGACAAAGTACCTTTGTTGCTGTTTCACCAATGCATTCAGTGTATGTTCACAAGAGATTATCTGTATTTTAAAAATGGCACAAATACAATCTGATTGTGAATCAGGGAGGACTACTTTTCTAGTTGTCTCAAAAACATGCTTGCATATTTAAGTGTGTGTAATAATATTTCCTAATTTACATATACTCCAATATTTACCTGCTCAAATATGCTTTCCTCCTTCCACCACTAGCTTTAGATCACAGTTGGGAGAAGATCCCTTTTTGAAGGGGGTAGTACTTAGGGTATCAAAATGTGACGGTCCTCACAAAATTTTACAGGTTCGTTATCGTGAAGACCTATCATAGGCCTAGTTTTCCTCTTACTTACACTTCCATGGGAAATAAATTTTAATATAGAATCTCTTGTAGGATCTTCCATTCTTCTATTCTGCTGGGCTTGACTGGGGCTGCTAAATCAAGTTGTCCAAACTAAGGCCTTGCTTCCAAGTAAATCTAAAATGTTTTACCCCTGAAGTATAGTAGACATCTGCCTCTCTTTCCTCCTGTAACAATACTCTACAAAGAAACTGTTCCTGCAAGACCACCTTCTGGAACATATGGGGGGTGGGGACGCACGGGAGTGTAAGGTGGAATTAAGAACTTTCTATCCCAGGAGCCCTCCTCCCCTGTCCCTTGTTCCCCCAAATCCTCCATTCCGATTCTGCTTATCTTTTTGAAAAGGCTTCTTGTAAATTCATTGGCATCAAAGTTTCATAAAATGTTTGATTAAGACTTCCTGCTAGAGAATTTCCCACTCTTTGTATACACGTATATTTCGGTATTAATATGCTATAGCAATAGGGTTGGAAAAACATTTAAAACTTTGTCTCTGCCTCTGAGAAAAGCCAAGAGCAACTACCCAGCAGAAAAAACTCAGTTCTAAACATCTGGAAGGAACAAAAATCCTTCAGGGAGACACTTAATTCAGAACAGCCTTCTCTATTTTTGTGATCTCCGTTGTTGCCTCCTAGTTTTTGCTATAAACTGTTTAGTTCCCCTCTAGTAAAAGGACTATGTAACAGTTTGCAAATTTACATCTGGGCAAAATCTGAATCCAGCCTGAGTTCTGAATTTCCTGAACAGCCACGGCATTGAAAAAATATTAAGGCTGTAACAGGCAAAAATGAACACATTCATAAAAAAGTCTTATTCACATATTTTTTTCCTTTCTAGTGGACTGCACCACATGTACGTTTTTGAAACATGCACTTTTGGTGAGACGAGAGAATTTCTAGTTTCCCAGTAAGATGTGAATTCCTGAATAGCTCCAGAATCTTAACAATGAACCTCAATCCTTAGCAGCTATACATTTTCCCATGTTTTCCTAGCCTTGATGACACGCAAATAGAATAATATAGAACTTGAGATAAATGATGCTGGCTCTTAATAAAGAACATATGCTTTAAGTGAGGGGTTCTCAACCTTTTCCCTTCCAAGGCGCCCCCCAACAACACTCTATAAAAACTCCATGGCCAACCTGTGCCACAAAAACTGTTTTTCTGCATATAAAAGCCTGGGCTAGTACTATGGCGTAGCAAGCAGTGCAATTGCCCAGGGCCTGTCGCCACAGGGGGGTCCACACCACAGAGACCCCTGCAAAGCTCAGTTGCTCAGGCTTTGGCTTCAGTCCCAGGGGGCAGGGCGGTGAAGCTTCAGCCTCCATGGGTCAGTGGAGCCTCCTGGACTCCGGTCCCCATGGGGCTCCAGGGCTTTAGTCCTGGGTCCTAGCGAGTCTGACGCTAGTCCTGCTTGGCGGAACCCCTGAAACCTCTTTGCAGCCCCCAGTTAAGAACTGCTGCTTTAAGTGATTCTAATAATCATGACTGACACAAACTTTAAATCGGAAAGTCCTCCTGTAATCTGTAGTTGTTCAAGGGAGATGAAACAACTAATACTATGAAGTAGCCTGTAAATCTGCTTGGAATCACTGCAGTTCCAATAATATCTTGCCACGTCTAATATTCAGCAGCCCAAATATAAGCAAAATACATTCAAGTGGGTATGAAGATAATGTCCCTCTATGTGGTAACAACCAGGACTTGTCTCTAGCCAGAGATGCACTTTTCATTAATCTTAACAACGTACTCTCTTGGGATGTACAGTGCTCAAGCAGATTGTCTCAATCCACTTCCAGGAGAGTGAGAACTAAATCAGTTAGTGTTCCAGCTTAAAATATTACTGCAGTGCAGGGCAGGCCTATTAATCACAACATTTAACAGCAAGCTTCTTTTGTGGGCTTCAGAATCAACTTCAATTCAGCATCATCAGTCACCTTAAATTGAGAAATTTTCTGTAGCTTTCTTCACATAGCTCACTTAGTGAAATAAATAATGAAGTCCAACAGCACCAGATGACAGATTCTAATGGACTGGATATTTTCTCAGAATTAGTGGATTGGAGGGAAATGAAATTTTCACTTGGGGAATTTTTCCATCTGAATCCTCAAGCAGACACTAATGAGCTTGGGAAATCGAGAGCTAAGAATTTTTAGGTCAGTGATTTTTCGGCGACAGGAATAGAAGCTTTACAGTCTAGGTACATCAGCTTTCCAGCAAAGATGGGGTTGTATCCAGAGATGGGGTTTCAATAGTACTATCACTTTTAAATAATTAGTCACAGTGCCATCACTGGCTTATGGAATTTTGAATATGCTTCACTGAATCTTACTAGCTGCCATGTCAGTATTCATCTGATTAGTATGGACCCATCACAGCTTAGAACCCTTATGTGACAGTGATGACTCTGTGATGACAGGGCTCATTAAATGCTTTCAGTTAAAGAGAATTCCTTCACGGGATGCTTTGTCTTGAAAGCTGTTTCTATATCTCACTTTGAACCTTTGCACGCTACCTTTATTCATCTGTATCTCGCTGCTGCTATGGGAAGGTGGAGACTGGGTGAGTTCAGGGAACCCGTGGATTTTATTCATGCCTCAGTTTTTCCAGACCAGTTTACTTGAGCTTTTTAAAGTTTATATCAATATTTTCTACACAACACAGCCCTATCACTAACATGGTTAAATGGAACTAGGATCTTAATTCCATTTGTTTAAAGGCAAAGCATTTCTTAAAATCCAGAGACTTCTGTTATTTATAAACCTAAATGGTCTATGTCATCCAACTCCTCACTTTCAAAATAAATACAAATTTTCCTTTATAAATCATAGATAAGGCTGAGAAAGTCTTTTTCGATCATTTAGTTTGTGCCCAGTCACAATTGCTGGGTTAGTCCTCTAAGCTAAATCCATAAGTTGGTAACAGACTTTGTAGTCAAGTCCAGCCCCATGCACTGGGGCAGGATAAGGAAACCAAGACCATCCCTGACAGGTGTTTGTCCAACCTGTTCTTAAAAACCTGCAATGATGATGATTCCACAGCTTCTCTTGGAAGCTGATTCCAGAGGTTAATTACCTTTCTAGTTAGAAAGCTTTTCCTAATATCTAACCTAAATCTCCCTTGCTACAGATTAAGCCAGTTATTTCTTGTCCTGCCTTCAGTGGACATGAAGAATAATTGATTACTGTCCTCTTTGTAACAGCCCTTAACATATTTGAAGACTGTTGTCAGGTCCCCACCTCGGTGGTCTTTTGTTAAGATCAAATATGTCTAGTTTTTTTAACCTTTCCCCATAGGTCAGGTTTTCTGAACCCATTTATCAGTTCAGTTGCTTTCCTCTGGGCTTTCTCCAGTTTGTTCACATCTAAAGTGTGACACCCCCCCGCCCCCCCAAGAACTGCAGATACTGTACTGTGCCAGTTGAGTTCTCACCAGTGCTGTGTAGAGTTTGACAGTTATTTCACGTCTTATATACAATGCTCCAAATTATATTAGTCTTTTTTGCAACGGCCTCTTGTTGATTCATATTCAATTTGTGATCCACTCTAACACCCAGACCCTTTGCAGCACTACTATCAGCTAGCCAATTATTTCCCATTTTATAATGTGTATTTGATTTTTTTCTTCCTCGATGTAGTACTTAACTCTTATCTTTTGTTGAATTTCATCTTGTTGATTTCAGAAGAATTTTCTAATTTGTCAGTGTCATTTGGAATTCTAATCCTGTTCTCCAAAGTGCTTGCAACCCTTCACAACTTGGTGAACTCACAAATTTTGTAAGCATATTCACCACTCCCTTATCTAAGTCACTAATGAAAATATTGAATAGTACAAGACCCAAGGCTGACCCTGGGAGACCCCTCTGGATTTGCCCTCCCTGTTTGATACTGAACCATTGATAACTACTCTTTGAATATGGTCTTTCGATCAGTTTTGCACCCACCTTATAGTAATTTAATCTGGGCCCAATTTCCCTAGTTTATTTATGAGAATGTTGAGGGACTCTGTTGAAAGCCTTACTAAAATCAAGATATATCACCTCTACTGCTTCCCCCCATCCACTAGGCCACCAACCCTGTCAAAGAAGCAAATTAGGTTAGTTTGGCATGATTTATTCTTGACAAATCTATTTTGGCTATTTCTTATAACCCTGTTGTTCTCTAAATGCTTACAAACTGATTGTTTAATAATTTGTTCCAGTATCTTTCCAGGTACCAACATTAGGCTGCCTGGTCTATAATTACCCAGGTCCCCGTTGTTCTCCTTTTTAAAGATAGGTACTACATTTTGCCTTCTTTAGTCCTCTGGGAACTCATCCATCCTTAATAAATTCTTGAAGGTAGTTGCTAACGGTTCCGAGATTGCTTCAGTTAGTTCCTTAGGTACCCTAGGATGAATTCCATCAGGCCCTGCTGACCTGAATACAACTAACTTATCTAAATATTCTTTAACTCATTCTTTCCCTATTTTGGTTTGCGTTCCTTCCCCCTTAGAATCATAGAATATCAGGGTTGGAAGGGACCTCAGGAGGTCATCTAGTCCAACCCCCTGCTCAAAGCAGGACCAATCCCCAATTTTTGCCCCAGATCCCTAAATGGCCCCCTCAAGGATTGAACTCACAACCTTGGGTTTAGCAGGCCAATGCTCAAACCACTGAGCTATCCGTGGCAGGCACTTGTTGTTAATATTAATTGTGTTTGAGTATCTGGTCACCACCTTTGTAGTGAAGACTGAAGCAAAATAGACATTACACACTCAGACTTCTTGATGTTATTAGCCCTCCTTCCCTGTTAAGTAAAGGACCTACACTTCTCTTTGTCTTTCTCTTGCTACTAATGTATTTATAGAACTTCTTATTGCCTTTGACAGCCCTTGCTAGGTGTAACTCATTTTGTGCCCTAGCCTTTCTGATTTTGTCCCTACATGCTCGTGCTATTCTTTTGTACTCCTTAGCAATTTGCCCAGGTTTCCACTTTTTGATTCCTTTTTGATTTATAGGTCATTACAGAGCTCCTGATGGAGCCATATTTTGGCCTCTTGCTACTCTTCCTGTCTTTCCTTTGCATTGGGATAGTTTATAGTTGTGCCTTTAAAATGTTTCTCTTTGAAACAAAAAAGGAAAAGAAACTTGGAATGTTGCTTGCTCCATGTCTTAAATACTCACTTCAGCTTCCTGCACAGTATGAAGCTAGAAAGCTACCATTTGAGACTCTGCAAAGACTTCTCATTATTGAGATGATGCTTTTTTCATAGAAGAATAAACCACTCTTTTAAAAAAATTTTCTTCTCCTGTTTAAAAAGTATTTTCCTTTCTCTGTAATTATTTGAGTCCATCCCCATACTGTCTAGGGGCAGAATTACTTTGTCCTATGGACGGGGCAGTTGTGGACAGTCACAGAATACTTAATCTGGTTATTGAGAGAATCCTTTCTCATTTGAATAAATACCAGCCTTTGTAGTTTTATTTATTTATTTCAATTTGTAGGGCTCCTAAAATTGCAGGTGTCTTGGATTTTTGTTTCATAATTCTTAAACTTTCTGTAATTTTATACACATACATACATATATGGTTGTTGGTACTTTAAAACCTCTAGTTAGTTATGAAGAAAGTATGTAATGGTGAATATTGACATAATACTACTTTCATTCCAGATGTGAGGGATTTACATTCTAATATGAAAAGGAAGATGGATTAGAGGATTATTCTACATAGTGGATAATAAACTTGAGGGGAGAATTAGGGGACAATGTAAACTGGGTGGAATGAGAAGGGAGTGTTTTTAAATACGTATTTACTATTAAACACGTTGTACATGCAACAATCTTAACTGTTCAATTTATTGTACAGTAGTTTAGTAAATAAAGCTCTTAAATGCCCAAAGTGTTTGTTTTTTTAAGATGGCATCCTGTAACAAAAATAACTTGATGCAATGTTTGCAGGACACTGCCAGTCAGGGCTTCTTGGTCCTGTTGCTGGGTGTCACTGTTAACGTTAGCAGATCACTCCATACCTCTGTCTCAATTAACCTCTGTTAAAACAATAGCTATAATAATGCTTACTTTGGAATATTAGTAAAGTGTCATTAGATTTTGCAATGAAAAGCACTATCTAAGTACAATAGAGATTATCAAAATTGCTTAGCATTTCTTAAGATTGTCAATAGATGTAAACCCCACTTTTTGAAAAAATCATCCTTTTCTTGTGAATTTCTTAGTTGTTATCTTATTTATAAGGTTGCTTCTCTTTACTATAGATAACAAAAGTTTAAAATAATTCTAATACATAAAAATCTATACTTTTTTAAAGTTTCCTGCAGCCTTTGAATTCAATGAACTGTTTCTGATCACCATTTTGGATCACCTTTATAGTTGTCTCTTTGGGACTTTTTTATACAACTGTGAACAAGAACGATTGAAAGAGGTAAGTTCTACACTTGCTACTGTTTGACATGTTGATTTCATGCAGAGGTGCTTTGAGTATGAGACAGAAGAACATTTGAGCCTGTGTTTTAGTGGAATTTGTTATCATCTAAACCTCTAGAGCTGGCCTGAAAATGAATTTAATGTTATAGATATGAGAAATATGTTCCAAACAGCCCCATAACCAGAAGAAGGGCCACTCTACACCATAGTTGAATTAAAACATTTTTCTAATTATGTCAGGCTCTACACCTTCCACCTCACTGTAGATCATGAACTGCTGTTCCAGATGATGTCCCAGTCCATGCACAAACCTCTAAAACACTTCTTACCAAAATCTTGGCCATCTGTAGAGGAGTTCTATGGTTGATGCAACGTTACCAGTACACTGCAGTCTGGAGCATCATTTGAAGCAGGATTTGATTATTGATGATGGAACATGAGGTTGAAGGATGGGAGAGAATTTAAAATATTTTGGTATTAGGGAAGTTAGCACTTTCACTCTGAAGCACTTTGCACCTTCTATAATATGCTTCATCCAGTCTCAAAGTATTATTACTATGCTGAAAATGTACATTTGTGGTTGGCCTTCTCCTCTCCGTCACACTTCATGCTTTCAGTAAAATAATTAACTGTCCCTTAGTGTTTGTGTTTAGCTTTGGTATTTTTCTGGGTTGGCTGTCTTATCTAGTACAACAAATTGCATGCATACACCACAAGATGGAGCTAAATAATACATTCTTAGCGAGTACGTGATTAACAGACAGTTTTCTTTCACAAATGGATAATTGGATGCAGCTCCCTTTAAAAAAAAAAAAAAAAAAGAGAGAGAGAGCAATTTAACACACAGCTGTAGTAGAAACAGATGCTTTATAGTATTGAAAGAGTATAAAATTGCAAGATAAAACTGATAAGGTTTCAGAATCTGAATTCTTGATTTTATGGTTTTATTGTGATTTTTTTTATTATTATATAGTTTTTTAAAAGTGCAGATAAAGCTAAAACTGGACACTTAATTAAAAGTACAATATTTAGATGGCTGTAAGCAGACAGTGGAAGAAATAGATGACACTCACTTTCCTCAAATACTGTTCCGGTTATTTCAAAGGATACATGCTTCTCTTCACTGATTTCTAGTTAATTTAATTTTGTCACATTTTGGGTTGGTCAGTGTGTTGTTATGAATATGACCAGCTATGGTTATCACTGCAGGGTTATAAACAGTGTAACACTGATCAGCTCAGAAAGCAAAATAGCCCCCAAATATACTAGAATCTTCATTCTGCTCCTGAACAGTTTTGTAGAGAAATGACAATCTTGCAGCTATGATTAAGTCTTACAGCTGTTCAGTGACATGGATATTGGAAATGTTCTGAGCACTTACTGAATTGTAGTAAATAAAGTTGCCACTAGCTTCCCTGCCCAGTTAGTGCAGTAACTAGTCTGACTTTTTGGAAAAAAATTTTCCCCAAGGATAACAAAAGGAAATCTCAACAAATTAAATTAATGTGCCTTTAAATAAATATTGTGTATCAAATAGTTCTTGGAGCAAAAGAACATTACTATGCTAAAATGTAAAGATTTTGAATTACATACATTAGAACGTCAGAGTTACAAACTGACCAGTCAACCAGACACCTCATTTAGAACTGGAAGTACACAATCAGACTGCAGCAGAGACAAAGGAAAAAAAAAAAAAGCAAATACAGTACAGTTACTGTGTTCAACATAAACTACTAAAAAAAATGAAGGGAAAAGCTGTATTAAGTCAATGTTCAGTTGTAAACTTTTGAAAAAATAATCATAACATTTCGTTCAGAGTTACGAACAACCTCCATTCCCAAGGTGTTCATAACTCTGAGGTTCTACTGTATACTTAATGCCATTCTTTTTATTTATTCAGGAGATAAGTACAAAGACTGTATCTTTATGGTCCTACATTAACAGTCAACTAGATGAATTTACTAATCCTTTCTATGTGAACTATGAAAACCACGTCCTGTATCCTGTTGCCAGTCTGAACCATTTGGAACTGTGGGTAAATTACTACGTCAGATGGAATCCAAGAATGAGGCCACAGGTATGGGTTCTTTCAGTTAGCTACTTTTGCCTTGTAGTGAAAAGTGAACTGAGCAAACAGATTTTGAAAAGTTTGTAATTAATTAAAGTTTTTAATTTTGAATGGTCTCCTATCTGAATGATAGAGTAGTGCTCTAAAATATGAGGTGGTGGTGTTTATAAAACCTTACTGTCTCGCTGTTTTCATCAAAATCATAAGTGGAATGAACTATGGAAGAGGAGAGTTGCAGTATTCTTTTACTGAAGATTACTGATTCTTCTTTTGCTCCTGGACTGTTTTCCATGGCATGACAAATATCTCAAAATGTTCCACTTTGCTTGTTATGATGATGCTCAGGAGATTATTGCAAACACACGCGCGCGCACACACATGCAAACACATGCACACGCAAACCTCTGTGCCTTATGTTTTCCAATATAATCATCAAAGTCCAAACATATGCAACAGCTTCTCACGTTAATAAATATAGTGGACTGTGTAATCACAATTTACCAAGATCACCTTTTCTATCTTTGGTCAGTATAGTTTCAGATCCTGTTAGCCTGTCAGTAGAAAAGATCATCCCCATTTTTATTTAATGGACCTTATGTCTTCTTCAGAGATAAAAAATAAAATGTGAAGTTCTTAGGGGATCACTGAAGATATTAAAAGAATGGACCTTTCCAATTACTGGTACGTTGGTTTAGTTCAGTGACTCTTCACATGATTCTTTCTTTTGTCCTGTTTTATGCTAGAATAAGGGAAAATAAAGTATTTAACATTAACAGGGAGCCCACTGAGGGGTAGTAGTTGTACAAGGCGACTTCATAAGTTCCTTTATCAAACTGCAAAAAAAATCTTCTTTAATCAAGTGGGAAATGTTTGTAGTGTTTTGGAAGTCCACTGAAAAGAGAAATGATCCAATACGTGGGTGTAATTGAGGATGAAGGCCAGCCCTTTAGCATGTGTAGGAAGGGGTGTTTGAACCCCTTGATGTGTCCATCAACTAATTAATCTTTTTGGTAAGAAGAGAAACTCACAAGAATTAAAGGGCAGTATTTGAATCAGTCAATATGTCAGTTAATGCATCTTTAGTTTTTCTGAATTACGGAGACTTGGATTTTCAAAAGGGCCCGGGGGTGTTAGGCACCTAACTTCCATTGACTTTCACTGGGAGTTGGGTATACAACTCCCTTGGGCTCTTATTTGACAATTCCAGAATGAATCTGTTGTAAAATAGTAACTTTCTATAACCATTTTCTTCTTACTCCATTCTTGACCATCTCTGAATATCTGTTAATTGTCAGCTATTCTCTGCTTTGAAGCTATAGGATTCCAACTAAAGCCTGAACATATTGGAAGACAGCGCGTGTTTAAAAATCACAACCAGCCAGGGTATTTAGAGTTTATAGAGATTGTGTTCTGTGAACGAGGGGCTACTTATAACTTACTATAGCAAGTGGTGGCTGAGTGCACCAAGGATTGGCAACACTAATTTGATATTATAGTAGTACCAACAACTTCAGTAGTAGGATTATGGCCCCATTGTGCCAGGGTCTGTGCAGTTGGGGACAAACAGTGCCAGCCACAGAGAGTTCACAGTCTACGTGTATGACAATGCAGTGGGTGGATGGAATGGACAAATGGGGACATCTTTTGCTGGGAACCTTCTCACTAAATTGTGTTGCAGTAAGTCAGACACTTCTTTGTTCTTGAGCAAAAACCTGTTGCTCCAAATTGAAATTGGGTTGCTTTTAATCCTAAAAACAATTGATACTTCCTCATCCCAACAAAATCAGGTGGCTCATACTGCTTGGTCCTAGAACATTGAATCTGTTGATGAAGAAGAGAATTTCAGAATTATTCTTTCCTCCCTGAATTGGAAAGATTGCCATTTGTACTCAACTTGTGGGAGACCTGCTCGTACATTTTAGGTACTCTATTCTTTCTAGGCTTACCTGCTGCTTTTCACTTCCAAATGCCTCCATGCCAACCCACAATAGGTAGGATAATGCAACCTCCTGGAAAATGCTCTCAGAATTCTCCAATTGAGGTCAGGTCCCTCCTTTTTTCTACTTATTTTTATAGTACTTTTCAAATTAGCTTGGTACATTTCTGGTTTTCAGCTATCTAGCATCTGTAAGTATCCCTTTCTTGGACCCCTCTTGGCTAGATTTTTGTATTTCAGAAGACAGGGCAAATCCTTTAGAAAGACCGTTCTTCCTAGAACACGGCTTCTGTAGATGTAGTATTTCAAGGCATGAACCTTTGTCAGTCATGTCTGCAGGTCATGATTAAAGCCTTGACACCTTTGAACTGCAAGCCCTACACTGCTGTATGAAAAAGGATTTATTTTGGTCATGAAAATTCCATAATCTCTAATTTTCTATTAGGATGTACTTTAAAGTTTCATTTTGTCACTAGCTAGTATCATCCATTTGTATTTAGGTTGTGACTGTATCTTCTCTTCCAAAAGCAGGATTTTTCTCTAAGGCCAGCTTCCTTTTATGCCTTCTACTATAGCCACCTTATCCCTCCCTCTGGGAACTGTAACAACTTTCTGAATTGTTAATATTTGTCAGCTTTACTTTTCTCGATGACTTCTCTGCAGGCTGTGTTCTTCTGGAAGCGAGGCTGTTATGAATAAAGCAGACATCTTGAGATCCCTAAGCTATTAATTTGTTCAAATAAGTAGTTTTGCAAGTTTGTTCATCTTCTTATTTTTATTTGTTTAAGCCCTTGGTCCAAATACAAAAGTGACAGTGTTTGTAAACATAGGCATTCAAATTAGATGGTGAAATGTATACTGTGTGCTTGTTATAACAAATCTATCCCCTAGCACTTCTATACTAGAAGCATAGGAGACAGAACGAATCCAGTATGACAACTCATTTGTTCCTAACAGTATGTTTTTACTGAGAGCCCTCGATGTACTTAATTTTGTACAAAACGCAAAAGGTAACACTCTCTCTGAGAGAGAGCTTGTGTTGTAGGCAAAGCCGCTGGTGCTGCCTAAAGTCAGGATTGCCCGACACTTCCCACTATAGGAGGCTGTATTTAGTTGCTTACAGCTTTGCTAAAATGTAAACGTTTGGGCTGAAATTTCTGATATTCTGCATCTATCACTGATTGCATTTTTCCCAGTGCAACCTTTGTGTCTCTGCAGCCTTCATTTGGCCCTTTGTGGGTATGTATTATCATAATGTGATCATATTATTAAATACTACTTTTTCTACAGCACCGTACCTCATTGAGTGCATAGGATGGACCTGCTCTGGGAATGCTCAGGGTTGTATAGTGAGAGACGGTTTGTTTGTTTGTTTGTAGGACGGCTACCTCATTTCTTACACTAGTTGAAAAGAGAAGGAGAAAGGGTGGTCTCATGGTTGAACTGGTGGAATTTTGTTGCCCTGGGGAATTTGAATCTGTCCTTGCCCCTGACGCAAACTTCCTATGTGATGCTGGGCATGTCACTTAAAATCAAACTTTTCATAGGTGGCCACTGATTATGTGTTTGTTGTTTTGTGGGTGCCTGGCTTGATACCCCAAGATCCTATTTGCAGAAGTGTTAAGCATTTACAGCTGCAACTGAAGTCAGTGGGAGCGGGAGCAGTGTGAACACACAGTGCTATGGAATGCTAATTACTATGAAAAATCAGGTCCTAATAGGGTGACCAGGCAGCAAATGTGAAAAATTGGGAGAGGAGGTGGGGGGTAATAGGAGCCTATATAAGAAAAAGACCCAAAAATTGGGACTGTCCTTATAAAATTGGGACATCTGGTCACCCTGGGTCCTAAGCATCTCAAAGTGGGCATCCAAAATTAGTGGACACATTCAGCCTTAATCACTCTGTACCTCAGTTCCCTGTCTGTAAAATGGGGATAGTTATGCCACCACACTTCACAGGGGTGCTGTGAAAATAAATTCATTAATATTTGTGAAGCTCTTAGATACTGTAGTGATGAGCACTACAGAAAAGTTCAAGAGGAAGTGAATAATTCTGCCTCCCGAGTAGGGTTTGGATAGCGTACGGTAAATAAAATTGAAACAGTGGCAAGCAAACAAAATATTGAACAACTGCTTATTTTGTGCACTGAATGAGGCATCGGTCCTATGGGAAAAATAATATGTGGTCATATAATTAAAGATGGTCATACTGCATATGCACAAGGGGGCTAAACTACCATCTCCTAACTTCCGGATTCTTGACTTTGTGACCCTAGTGTTATTTTGTCATAGTTTGTTAGATGTCATTCTAAACGGACTGTAGATTTAATCAATGAAGTTAACTTTTAGAGCAACACTTGCACTTATGCCTGCTCATGCCACACATAGCACTGAGCAAATGGTGTGCCATCTCCTTCACCCAGTGCTGCCAATTCATATAGGCACGCTCTGACTTGCAGCCCTCCTGCCGTTTTAGGCCCATGCCTCACTTGAGCAGGCACTGTCAGTTCTGGATAACTTTGTAACTGGGCGTTAATACATGCCCATAAAACACTGACCTACTGGTAAGTGCATTTGCACCCAGATGTAGCTCCAGAGGTGTAAGACTAATGCAGTAACACCTTTCTTCACTTGATCTTACCTTCCTTTCCATTTCTTCTTTTCTTTCCAACTGCTCCTTAAACTCTCTGCCACAGCTTTTAAATCTATACAGTAGTTTCCAAGAGCCGTATGTCAGTTTGCACACACTAAGTTTCAGATTCACTAGTGACTACTTTTCACGTTGGCTTGGTGTAGTTGACACAACTTTATAAAAAGTCTGTTGTGTTGATTACTATTGAAAAATACTGCTCTCATCATGGTAGATGGACTTTACATGTGAGTATGTCGTTAGCGAGGATTTTAAAAGCAGCTCGATCAGACTTCCTGTTCTTTTGTGAAGAACAAAAAAATGAACTGAAAAACATTGTCTTCTTACAGCACGAAGAGTGTATTTTTGAAAAACTGACTGATATAGTCTGAATCAAGCAATGAATTTAAAGTAGTCATTTTCCTCTGCAGCCTTTCGTCCCTG